AAGTGAAAAATATGTGTTATCAAAAAGCTTTGAGTACAGTTATCTATGAATAATATCAAAATGGGTGGTGCGATTCTCAATTGAACCAATGAAAATGGCTCGAGATGCCTTACCTCCATACACGTGACCCCTTGCATCGTACGTCATATCTCTGACCCCACGCAAGGCAAGTCGAGGAATAATAAGAGTTTTTAATAACATCTTCATAATTATATTTTATTTTCCTCTCGAATGTTATCAAATTTGTGACGTGGTCAAATAATCAACATAATAAGCATGATTCTATAAAATTTTACTTTTATAGTAATATAAGGGAAAACAGAAACAAAATCACATTTAAAATTTAAATTTTAACTAAAATTCATTAATCAATCAATTTTTATTAAAAAATTTTTCGAGAATTCAATTATTTAAATACAAAAATAAATATAATTTATTAAATAAAATTGAATGTTTCCTAAAATTGAATTTTTATAAAGAATTCTATCAAAATTTTTTAAAAAAATTGAATTCTTTCGACGAATTTAAAAAAAAAATTAGAATAAATGCAATTTTCTATCATTTTATTTAAAATTGTATAAAAAATAATTGAAATTCTGCGATAAGCTTTTGTTATTTATAAAAATAATTGAATTCTTGCAACGAATTTTATTAACAAATTTTTTAAAGAATTGAATTCCTGTAAAGAATTTTATTTCTGAAAATAATTAAATTCCGGAGAAAAATATTATTAATTATGAAAACAATTAATTTCTTGTGAAGAATTTTATTTAAATTTTTTAAATAATAATTTAATTTCTCAGAATGTTTAAAAACTTTTTCAAAAAAATTAAATTCCATCGAGAAATTTTATTAGAAAATTGAAAATTATTGAATTCTGACAAAGAATTTTATTAAATTTTTTTTTAAATAATTGAATTTCTGTGAAAATGTTTATTGTTAAAAAAAAATTGAATTCTTGGGAAGAATTTTATTTTTTACGAAAATAATTGAATTTTTTCGAAGATTTTTACAAGCAATTTTGACAATAATTGTATTCCAATGAAGAATGTTATATTTTACGAAAATAATTGTATTCTATATATGAACAATTTTATTATAATTTTTTTAATTTATAAAGGATTTTATCAAAATTTTTTAAAATAATTGAATTCTCGAGAAAAATTTTATTATTTATAAAAATAATTGATTTCTTGGGAAGAATTTTATTCAAATTTTTTTAAATAATTGAATTCCCTTAAAAAAATGTATTATTTGTGAAAATAATTATAAATATATTTGAATTTTTTCGAGAATTGTCTAGAAATTTTTTTCAAAATTCATAATCGTAAATTTAAAAATAAGTGAAAGTAAAAATATTTTGAGGGGAGTTTAATATTTTCTCACGGATAGATAATAAATTTCGTGGGGATCAATATATATTCAACAGGTGATGTATACAACCAACATTTCTTTTAAATAGAGAATTTCTTGTCCGATATATATAAAAATAGGGGAAAATCACATTACGTCGAATCAACAAGTGCGACTAGCATTAAAATGTTCACATAAAAAGACATAAATATAAAAATATAAAAAAACATGTTACGAGGGCGTGACACTATAATAAAAATATTTCTTTGCCGACAAATAATGTAACTTTTCAAATTTGATATAAATTTTCATAACTTTTTAGAAATTCCTATCACTGCATAATCTACAAAACTCAATTACAAAATATATAATCTACAATGTACATACTTACTATCATAGAAATATTTTACATAGCAAAATATTTACAAAAATTAAAGTAAAATATTAAATTTTTTTTTATTTTTTAAATATTTAAAATCTTTTTTAAATATTGTTTTAATATTTATAAAAATATTTAAAATATACAATTTTTAAAAAAATTATTTTTAAACAGGGAATTGTTTTTTCGAAACATTCGAATTTTACAAAAATTTATTAAACAAATAAATGTTTGAGTTGTATTAAAAAATGACTCATTATACGTCAACAAATAATCTAATGGATTAAAAATATTAAATTATTTAATTTTTATCACAATATTTTTTTAAATATTTGAAAATAATTAGACCATCGGTAATTCGTATTTATCCACGCCACATGTCGGAAAAATTATGAACCTCATCATCTTCGGTAAAGAGAACGATTTACCATACTACTTTATAAACTGTAAAATTTCCCCAGATATTACCGACAAATAGCTACAGTCGGTAAAATATTTATAAAAGATAAAAAAGATATCAAAATAATTGTTCAGCATTGATATTCTTTGAATTTTTATTTTAAATAATAAAGTTTCTTTAATAATTTTAATTAAAAATTGTGAAAATAATTGAATTTTAAAAACAATTTCTTTCAAGTTTTTAAAATAATCGTAATTTGTTAGAAATTGAAATTGAACATTTAATTATTGAACTTTATTAAAATTTTAGAAAACAATTGAATTCATTTGAAAAATTTTATAACGAATTAAGAAAAAAATTGAATTCTTTTGTGAAATTGTTTTGCATATAATTAAATTTTTGCAAAAAATTTTACAATTTACAAATATAATTGAATTGTTTCGAAAAATTTATTAAAATTTTAGAAATTAATTGAATTTTTTCGAAAAATATTATTAAAAATTAAATTTTTTCATGAAATTTTATTAAAATTATATTCAAAATAATTGAATTTTTGCAAAGAATTTTACGATTTATAAATATAATTAAATTTTTTCGAAAAATATTGTTCAATTTTTTTGAAAATGAAATTTTTTCTTGAAATTTTATTAAAAATTTTATTTAAAATAATTCAATTTTTGCAAAGAATTTTACTATTTATTATTAAAATTAAATTAATTTGAAGGATTTATTAAAATTGTAAAAAATAATTTAATTCTTTCCTAAAAATTTTTTTGAAAATAATTGAATTTTTTTGCAAACATTTCATAACGAATTGAGAAAAAATTCAATTGTTTCGTGAATTTTTTTTTTTTTAAGAATTGCATTTTTGCAAAGATTTCACTTTTTAAAAAAATAATTGAATTATTTCGAAGGATTTGTGACAAAAATTTACTACTAAATATTATTTTATTGTTTATTGATAAAATAATATTTATGAATAATGATAATAATAAATATTACTAAGATTTTTCTCTATTATTAATAATATTCAACAGATGATCAAATAAATAATAATAATAATAATAATAATAATAGGTTAGGTTCAGCAGCGAATCACTTACCAAGCAGAATTTTTCTTTTCTACAATAAATCTTAGTCTTTACAGTTTTCATAAATATAATTCATCAAATGTTGACAACTTCCCTCGAACATAAAGCATATTTTACTTGCATACTTGCAACAATTCAAACATTTTCATTCTCTCGACAAAACGCTCTGCTTGTCGTAGACTTTTAAACGATAATGACGCCACGTGGCGGGGATAATACGAACTTCGAACATCATTGATAAAGATGTCAGTTGACATTACCGACAAAGATAAAGTTACAGTCGGTAACACAGTCATAAAGATAAAACAATATCGGAATAATGAAATATTGATTAAATATTGAAACCCGGAAACAAATGATCAAAAAAATATTGTTCTTGTCCTGTCGCTTAATAAATTAATTATTAATAATGAATTGATAATATTTCGCAATAAATTTAAATTCTCTTGTCGTTTTCACTATATGTGACAAAATTCATGACAGGAAAGTAATATTTGACTATTTTTCGTTATAAAATAATACTCACAAATTGTCAAAATATACGATTATTAAAATTGTTATTGAAATTTTATCGAAATAATAATACTTAACAAATGACAAAAGGAAAATGTACAACAATGTTCGATTGGTTATGTTTAACGGAATATCACTCACCAGGACTAGAATTTTTTCTTTTTTTAAGATAAATCTCGAACTTTCATTAGGTTTAGACGTAATCCTTAAATTAATGTAAACGTTTTCTTGAAAATCAAGCACAATACACCTTTTACTTAAATATTTGCACTTTATAGAATTTCAAGCGCCAAAATACTCGACTCCACTTTGACTACTAATGACGAATGTCAACGACAAAATTTAAAATGGCGTCGCATAGACGCGCTGCATGGCGGGAAATAAAAGCTTATCATCGTCGGTAAAGAAGGCAACGTACGTATCATACTACGTTGGTAAATTTACCGACATTTACAGAAAAAATGATATAATAATTTTTAGAGGTAATAAATTAAATAAATAATAATATTTAAATAAATTTAATTGTTGGGAATAAAATATTGTTTGTATGAAACGAAAAAGACGTGTGTAAATAAATATAGTTGCAATTTACTGACATATGCAAAAATTTATACTGAACATGAACTTTGAGAGACAAAAAATTGTAAAGCAATTTTTAAACAAAGCCCATAAATATAAATAACAAAGTTGAAAATAATGAAGATTAATTTTTTCACGAGATAAAATTTACAGTAAGAATTATCAATAATTTTGTCTAATAAATTAATAATATTTAACTGATTATTAAAATAAATGAATAACAATGGTATCACTCACCAAAATTTCCGCAGTTTTGTTGTTTTGTATATAATCCTCTTTGTGGCGATAAATCTTGAACTTCCCAAGGTTTCTTGAATATAATTCTTCTAATGACAGTAAATATCAAGCTTTATGCATTTTTACTGGAATGATTGCACATTCTTAATACGTTTCCAAGCGGAAAATACACCATCGCACATTGACTGACAATTAACGACAAACTGCAAATTAACGACAAAATTCAAAGTGGATTCGACTAGACATGTATAGTCACGCCGCATGGCGGCAACGTTATGAAACTCATTATCGTGGTAAGGGTAGCGACCGTGGCGGCGACAACTGTTACTAACTTCGGTGGGTAAATTATCCACTGTCGGTAACTCTCCACTGACGAACTTTCATTTAAATTTGGCGGTTACGCGCGCAACGCCGCCATTTTTATTTCCACGAGCAGTCACTTTGCAGGCAGAGAAGTGTAGTGAGAGATGGAGTGTACATTTACGAATTGTTTTTAACTTCATTAAGTGTATAAAGTGTTTCTATATTCGATTCTCATCTTTTTGAATAGCTGACATATCATTACAACCGGTGAGTAAAGTGAAATGTGGTGATAATGTAAAATATATCTGTAAAAATGTGAATTTCTCTCCGTGGTTGATAGGGACAATTTTTCTTTTCCTGCACACATTTTTCGCACAGTTTTCTCATAAATTTATAGTTTTCTTTACTTGAACCGTTAAAACAATCGTGCAATTAGTAAATAATGTTTTTTTCATCCCAAAGTAGAAATAAAATTGAAAAAAATAACTTTTCATTCTTTTCAGTGGAGTTTATAGACTTTTCGCCCTGTTCGCCAATGCCGGCGTTGGCATATTTTTAATCACAATAAAAAGAGAATATTTCAGTAAAATATTAACTTATTCCTGTTGTTGTCGATATATTTAGTTACTGTTTTATATATATTTTTGATTCTTTTTGGAGAAATTGTGAAAAATTCGTTTGACAAAAAGTGAACAGTGCGAAAACATAACAAGTGGTTTGGAGGTTAGGTCATGCTTTTGTTGACAGTTTTTTAATACTCTTTATCATTGAAAATTTATTTCCTTTGTTATTTATTACTTTTATTTAATAAATAATCAAAATGTTTTTGGTAAAATTTGTCGCAATTTATAGAATTTAAATTTATTTCTTGAAATAATGTATGAAAAATTTGTAAAAATGTTTTTGTTTTTTTTATTATTCATTTATTTACTATGTCGTTTTTTCCCATTTATTTATTTTTTATTATTAACCCAATTGGTTCTTCTTTTAATTTAATTTTTCCCTTTCTTGCAGAAAATCCATTACTTAGAATAATGTAGGTATTATATGTGTAAATTCATGAAACGAGATAAAAATTAAAATAAAAAATGTTTCTGATTGTAAATTTCTAAAATTAAAATTTTCCAATAAATTTTTTTTCAGATTATTCCCAAAAGGGAAAAAATATAAACACTTCGAGGGTAGCTAAATAAAAGGATAGATTCCACCACCTCAACGTGGGAACGTCGATCTGTAAGTCAGTTATTTTAATTAATTGGTTTAGTTGTGAATTTTAATTGTTTAAAAAATTCAGAACCCTTAAAACAGTTTATAAAAAAAATTTCCCAAGTAGGAATTTACTGCTGATATATTGCTAATTTAGAAAACAAATTTTACTATTTTTAAAGGAACTTTTTCCAAGTCCCAAAGTTAATTTTACTAATTTTTTTCTAAAATTTACTTCCTATAAATAAATTCTAAAAATTCACGCTATATTGCTTTAAATATTCAATTATTATTATCTAAAATTTTAACTGAAATTAATTATTAAATTAATTTTTATTAGAAAATCCCTTAAAAAAGAGGAAAAAATGTTGAATTTTAAGAAATTCGGATTTTTGACTTTTTGATAATTTTCGATAATTTTAGATTTTTTACCAAAGAGTAGAGACTATTAAAAAAGTAAAGTATTTTCCAAGAGCACAAAAATAATGAAGCTAAATCCCATAAAAAAGAGGAAAAAATGTTGAATTTTAAGAAATTCGGATTTTTGAAATTTTGATAATTTTCGATAATTTTAGATTTTTTACCAAAGAGTCGAGACTATTAAATAAGTAAAGTATTTTCCAAGAGCACAAAAATAATTAAGCTAAATCCCATAAAAAAGAGGAAAAAATGTTGAATTTTAAGAAATTCGGATTTTTGACTTTTTGATAATTTTCGATAATTTTAGATTTTTTACCAAAGAGTAGAGACTATTAAAAAAGTAAAGTATTTTCCAAGAGCACAAAAATAATGAAGCTAAATCCCATAAAAAAAAGGAAAAAATGTTGAATTTTAAGAAATTCGGATTTTTGAAATTTTGATAATTTTCGATAATTTTAGATTTTTTACCAAAGAGTCGAGACTATTTAATAAGTAAAGTATTTTCCAAAAGCACAAAAATAATGAAGCTAAATGCCATAAAAAAGAGGAAAAAATGTTGAATTTTAAGAAATTCGTTTTTTTGAATTTTTGATAATTTTCGATAATTTTAGATTTTTTACCAAAGAGTCGAGACTATTAAATAAGTAAAGTATTTTCCAAAAGCACAAAAATAATGAAGCTAAATCCCATAAAAAAGAGGAAAAAATGTTGAATTTTAAGAAATTCGGATTTTTGAATTTTTGATAATTTTCGATAATTTTAGATTTTTCACCAAAGAGTCGAGACTATTAAATAAGTAAAGTATTTTCCAAAAGCACAAAAATAATGAAGCTAAATGCCATAAAAGAGAGAAAAAAATGATGAATTTTAAGAAATTCGGATTTTTGAATTTTTGATAATTTTCGATAATTTTAGATTTTTTACCAAAGAGTCGAGACTATTAAATAAGTAAAGTATTTTCCAAAAGCACAAAAATAATGAAGCCAAATGCGATAAAAAAGAAGAAAAAATGTTGAATTTTTAGAAATTCGGTTTTTTGAATTTTTGATAATTTTCGATAATTTTAGATTTTTTACCAAAGAGTCGAGACTATTAAATAAGTAAAGTATTTTCCAAGAGCACAAAAATAATGAAGCTAAATTCCATAAAAAAGAGGAAAAAATGTTGAATTTTAAGAAATTCGGATTTTTGAATTTTTGATAAATTTTGATAATTTTAGAATTTTTACCAATTTTATCAATTTTTTTTTTTTTTTTTTTTGGAGACTATTAAATGAGTAAAGTGTTTTTAAAGAGCCCAAAAATAATTAAATTAGATTTAAAATTCCACTGGAATTTCGTAAAAATTTGACCTGGAAATTATGGAAAAGGTATGGAATTTTAAATGCAGATTTCTGTAGGAATCCTGATTTTATTATTTTCTGAAAATAATTAAATGTTTGCGTAGAATTTTACTAAAAATTTGCAAAATAATTGAATTCTTTTGAAAAATTTTATTAAAATAGTAAAAATTGAAAATCATTAAATTCAGGAAAATTTTTGAAAATAATTGAAATTTTGCCAAGAATTTTATTAAAATTCTTGAAAATAGTTGAATTTCTGCGAAGAATTTTATTATTTCTAAAGATAATTGAAATTTTAACGAAATTTTTTTTTTAATTTCAGAACATAATTAAATTTCTGAAATGAATTTTATTACTTTTTGAAAATAATTGAATTTCTGCAATCATTTGTAATTTTTCTAAAATTCTGCAAATTATATCGTACAATTTATTCCCCCTTTTTTTAAACTAAATCCCCTTTTTAAAAAATACAATTCCCTTTTTTATCTAATATTACATGAAAAAATAACTGTGATCCCTGCGGTTGATGAATAAATTTTGATGGTTTTAGAAATTTTTCTTTTATAAAACAGAGACATAGAGAGGAAAATTTGCTGATAACCTCTCACTGCCGGTGTAATAAACCAAAAAATAAGTTTCATAATCAATAGAAGAAAAAACAAGAAAAAAAATATGATTTTGTGTCATAAGATACATAATATGTATTTTAAAATTCATATTTTTTTTTGCGTCACTACCTTGTTTTCTTATTAATTCTGTTATTTTTTATTCTTTCTGTTCAAAGAAAGGTGTAAAATCACCTGAATATATTTATTTAATTCATTCTTCATGAATATTTTTTTCAAACGTTTTGTACAAATTTTTCATATAGAATAATCGAAATATTCGGTCCATTTCAAATAAAATGAGGTTTTAAAATAAAAATTTAATTTAAAAACTGTTAAAAAATTATTTCATACTTTTGACATTGTTAAATTATAATATTTTGCAATTTACGTCTACTTTTAAAAATTAAATTTAAAAATTAAATATTAGACCACTTCGTTGGTTAATTGAAATAATAATTTATAGGAGCCGTGTCTCCACTTTATAGACATTCAATTTGTTTTCCTTATCAAAATAATAATTTAGATTTTATTATTATTTCATTCTTTATATGAGCTTTTTGAGTAATATTTGATTTATGAAGCATATAAATACTTAATTTCGGTATATTCTTGAAAATTATAATTTAAATTATGATTTCATTATTTATATGTATTTATGAGTAATATTTGATTTATGAGTATCATTTAGATCTATTAGTAAATCAAAATAATATTTTTGAAGACAAGTCCAATTTTTTCATTGTTATTTAATTAAAATAGATTTTTTAGAAGTTCCAATTTTCTTTTATTAGTTAATCGGCCCCATTATTTTATTATAGTTAAACGAAAAAAGTTCCGTTTACAATAAATCAAATCAAATATTTTAAAAAACGTGTCTCTATACTTGATTTAAAAAAATGTTGAAAATTATTTTATTAATCCACACACTTTTCAATTTTTGTAGAAAAATTTATTTTACTAAACTTATAAAAGTGATTAAATTAATGACAATGAGTATTGCAGAGAATTTTTCTTTCTCTGGAAGTCAGTAATGTTTTTTTAACAATAGTCGATTACTAAATTTTACACACAAGAGTATATGTTTCTCAATAAGTTGAGTAAATTGAATGAGAAATGTTTTTTTGACTTGAAAAGTTATGTTTACAAAATTTACAATACAATATGTATTTAGTCTATATAATATTAAAATTTCAGTCCTAAGTACATATAAATTGAAAACAGAACTAATATTTTTTTCTACAAAACTCGAAAGTAAACGAGGTTTTACAAAATAGATGTTTTTACATCGTTTATTATATTATAAAATCTTCATAGCAGATAGTCTTATTATTATTGTTACTATTAATATTATTATTGTTATTATTATTATCATTATCATCATTGTTATCATTAATATTACTATTATTACTACTCACAACTTTTCTAAGGATATCAAATTGAGATTTGACTTTTGATGCGTTTTTTCTTTCAATTTGATATCCTTAGAAAAACTGCAATTCTTATCATACGAAAAATTACAATAATTTAAATATCAGTCTACAATTTTCTTTATTCATAAAGAAGCATTGACTTCTTTAATTGTCGAAATTAAATTGTCGATTCCAAGAAGAAATCCCTCCTCATGATTTCCAGTCTGCCATGAGTCTCGATGCGTCAATTTTTTGCCATTTGGAACTTGATAAGTTTTTGCAAAGTCAATTAACCAGACTCCCACTTTCTCATTGTCGTATATCATAAAAATACTGCTTCCAATAACCTGTGGGAAAAATTAAAATAATTTTCAATTATTTAAAACTAATTAATTAGTGCTGTTAAATTAAATTAAAGTTAAATTAAATAGTGCAACAAATAATAGTGTAAAATACAGTTACTATTAAAGATCAATTTTCAAGTTTTTAAAAATAACTGATAGTAATTGATACTAACTGCCAGTAATTGATAATTGATAAATTATATAAAGATTAAAAAATAAAATTACCTCATGTGTTTGAAAGTACGTGGATTTTTCAACTCTTGATCTCAAATTTTTCAAGCGCTCTAGCAATTTTTCCCTAACATTAATACTTTCTCCCAAGAAGTGTTTCATCGTTTCCAAAACTTCCTGATGTGATTTGACCTTTTGTAATTTTTTGATTGGCGGCGTTCCTGGCAATTTCATCGCCTCAATACGAAAACCATGACTACACGTTGAACTTTGTTGTTCACGAAATTGCATATATCGAAGTTTAGTGACTGCACGTTGTTTATTTTCTTGTTCAGTAGGCGCGTTAATATCGACGGAAATCATTTTCTCATAGAGATCAGGTCTGGCCTTTATATTTGAGACTTCTGATTCTAAAAATGTCCTTGTACCAATTTTTATATCCATCACGTGGGGATCATTAAATCCAAATAAAAGATCTTGTAATTCAATGAATGTATCATTTTTATAGTCAACTTCTCGATAGTACCTTGGTATGAATTCTTTCATTTCGTCGTCTTTACTTAGGGTTTCGTAAACTATTCTCTCTGTATTTTCAGAACCTCCCGTTCTTCTTTTCCATACTGTCCCCGGTCCGGCTGGTGCAAAACTCGCCGGATGTCCCGACAATTGAAACCATGATTTTAGTCGATTTTTTAAAATGATGTCACTTGCTGGTGCTGTTAGGTCCAGTGCGTTCTGAAATAAAGAAAAAATTTGTTTGTTTTAGAACTAAAAGGCAGAATAAGTCAATTATCTATATTTTTTATTAATGAAATCTAGATTTTTGGACGTATATTTTTTAATCTTTTATTTTGAATTATGCTTTGATTTTCAGAAATTTCGTCATTTTCTTTTTCGCTTATTCGTTTTGTTATTTTACTGCAGTGGTTTAATTTAAATGTAACTAAAATTAGTTGTATCAATTCCATTTGGAAATTACCTATCTTAAAGCAAGTACGTCATACTGATTGCTGTTATCTTTGTTGCCAAGGATACAAGTGTGACACAAATCTATTTTTTAAGAGAATGACTTTTTCTTTTGTCAGATTTATGCTTTGTTTTTTTTTTGTTTCACCTCAAGAAGTTATCGAAAGAAAACAAATTTTTTTTATAAACATGAAATTTGATAAATGAGATTAGCAAAGGAGGTAATTTGCAATTATAAATTTATAAAGTTATTATTAAATTGTAAACTTCGAGAAAAGTACTGCTCATCAAAAGCCTTTTCTTCTAGTTTTGAATCAAACTATTTGAAGTTATCTTAAAATAATATTTATACAACAAAAAGTATATGAACGATTTGACAAATACGATTTGTCATTATTTGATTGATATATCATTTAATTTGTCAGTGGTAACAATAATACCTAATATGTTAATTATTTTACATGATTTTAGAGCAGCAGTGAAGCAGTAAGACTAGGAATAGTTCTTTCGAGGCGTATGGCCAAACTTATTAAAGAAAAGTAGAAGAAAATTTTTATTTATCTCCACGAGAATATTGTGGCAACATTCTCAAACTTGGGGTAGAAAGACTAGGGAATAGTTCTTTCGAGGCGTAAGGCCAAACTTATTAAAGAAAAGTAGAAGAAAATTTTTATTTATCTCATCGAGAATATTGTGGCAGCATTGGCCTACAATATTGAACGACAAACTTGAGGTAGAAAGACTAGGAATAGTTCTTTTGAGGCGTAAGGCCAAACTTATTAAAGAAAAGTAGAAGAAAATATTTATTCGTCTAAACGAGTATATTGTGGCAACATTGTCTTACAGTATTGCACGACAAACTTGAGGTAGTAATACATAGAAATTTCGTTGCAGTATTTAAATATTTTAGTAGACCCTTTGTTTTCGTTTCTCTCTCACAAGTAGAAAAACTCCAATTTAGAAAGTTAAAGAAAATCTACAATCATTAAGTTATAATAATAGTTTAATTACCATAATTATTTAGAAATTATCCAAAAAAATATTTATAAAACTAAGTATTTCTATTTTGAGGTGGTAGTTTAATTAATTTTTATACTTTTAAAAATGAGAAATAAAAGTAATTTACCAGAGCAAGAAACTTGAGGGAAAGATCTTCATCCGGCATAGTAGCATCGGAAAGAGCAAGAGGAAATTGCTCTAATTTTTGAACGGTGGTATGATCGTTCGACATTCGTCCGAGGGCCGATGAATTTGATCCACCTCCATTAGATTTATTTCCAGCGGAAGCACTCCGCCTCCATTGACGGAAAGCGTTGACCGCTGAATTAGTTCCCGAGCCATCCTTCTGTCGACGTTGGGCCTTTGGTGATATTGACTCACCACCCACGTGTGTCTGTTCTTTCGATGGCTGAAATTTAATAAAAACTAATTTTATTATTTCAAACATCTTTTAATCTGAAAATACTATTTTCTATAAAAGTTACTTTTTTATTATCAATAGGACAAATTAATTACTGAGATCAGAATCAGAAAACTTGAAAATAAACTAGATGTATTATTTCTTAGGTAATTTTTTCTATATTTAATGATTAGTTTCATTATATTTCTATCTAGATCCTATCGTTAGGGAAATTTATTTCTCCTTGAGATAAAGAGAAGAGTCATTCGAAAATCCATTAAGGATTCAGATTGAAAGAGTAGATTTTGTTTTCGGCATGACTAAAGGTGTTGGCTTGACGTAATCTTTGGCGTTTAGACGTCACTGGTATCAATGAAACCTAATGTATGAACACATATACATATAGAAATGAGAAAAAGCACAAGCATTATGCATTGCAAGGAACGAGTGTAATTTACACACAAGAGCATTCACCTGAAGTTAACCTGTGAGGGCAACAAGCACACGTGTACTTTGATATAGTATTTTATTTCACATTGTGTGTCTTCGATTTTTTTTCTTAGATTTTATTTATAGCAAAACTATAGCTATAAATAAATAATAAAATTGTTAATAACTGTGTCAATCGAGGAAAACATTTTTCTTATTTTTAAAACTAAATCGAAAAGTCGCATTTTTTGTAAAATAGTCAAAAATCACATCCGAGGCCGGTGTGAATAGAAATAAATTTTAAAAGTCGAGTTACCTTTTTTGAATGTCCATTAGAAAAAAATGGTGTATCTTTAAAATTTTCGGTTGAAGTATTCATAATCTTGTTAAAAACTATTTTTTAAAATGTTTATAAGACAAAAAATTTAGATTTACTAGATTCAGTTTTAATTTACATTTAAAAAAAATCCACTTCGTATTTTTTTAAACCATAAATCATTTAGTCACAAAAGTCCTCAATCCACAAGTCTCAAGGATGTTGCAAATTTTGTCTGATTTTGTCAATAACACTTTATAAAAACGAATGTCGATTAACAATATTCGTTTTACTCTCGGTTATGTTTCACTTACAACCTAATGGAGTCAATTTTTCTTATCTTCATATATATCATTTTTTTGAAAAAAAATTCTTGTTTCATATTTTCATGATCCTTATTATCATTTGTACAATGAGATAACATGATTGTGTTTCTTTAGGGAAATATGAAATCTCCGAGAAAATATATAATGTTTGTGCAAAATTAGGGTCATGTCTGCTTTAAAAAGATCATGAAAATACTAACAAAATTCGTTTAAATTAAGAACAAAAAATATACAGATCTTGATAAAGAATATTTCTTGACATATTGGAGAAATAAATTTTCGCAAAAATTCAAAAAAAACATCGAAGTGGAAAAAATTTAGTTTGATAATAATTGACCATAAAGATTGGTCCAATATCTCCTATTGATAACTTTGCTTCTAAAAAAATGTAAATTCCAATTTTTCTTTAAAAATCTTTTTTGCGACACATTTTGTTTTCTTTAACAAATTGCGTTTTAGCGTAAATGAAAAAAAATATTATTTCTGGTTGGTTAATTAAGAATTCGATAGGTTTACCGTGACGTAAAGGATGTTTGTATTATATGACAAACGTTTGTGTATATATAGTGCTATCGGAAGAGAATCGCATTTTTAAAATCTAAACAGTCGTATTTTCGTAAAGATTTCATTATTCCCGAACGATTTCAATTTCAATTTTTTCAAGGTCTTTCAATAAGGTCAAGGAAATCCAATTCCAACGTGTCTTGAGAAAATAAATTAAAGACTATAAATATATAAATTTTATAAATTATTGAAACCAATTACCTTGTACCAGTTCGTTATACTTTGTAATTGATACCTGACAGAGATTGTTAACTACATTAACTACATTCCCTCATTTTTCAAGTAAAATAGCAGAAAATAATTCTTGTTTTATTTTTACTTATAATAATAAATCATTCATCTCTCGGACTAAAATTAATATACGGGTAAAACAAAGTTCAATAGCCTCGTGTTTTTTCTCTAAAAGATAAAGAAAATTGTAGAATATATTGTTACGATGCTGAATTATGAAATAGAAAGTTGTGTCTGCACATAATTCATTTGCGACTGGATTAAAAAAAACTCGTGGAATGCGTCACACATAAATAAAAACAGGTGTCTATTCTGAACTTTGCGTTACCCGATCTGGAGTATATGTTCGATTTGTCATTATTTGATTGATATATCAATTAATTTGACAGTGGGAATTCGATTTGTTGTACGTTTCAGTGCTTTTTAGTCTCTTTGTTTTCGTTTCTCTCTCACAAGTAGAAAAATTACAATTTAAAAGCATAAACTATTAATTATTTTACAAAAATTTTGTCGTAGATATTAATTATTTTAGATTGTTTTAGAGCAGCAGTGAAGCAGTAAAACTAGGAATGGTTTTCTCCAAGGCGTATGGCCAAGCTTATTAAAAAAACGTAGAAGAAAATATTTATTTATTATAAGACAATGGTCTTATAATATTTTACGACAAAATGAGGTAGTAAAACTAGGAATGGTTTTCTCCAAGGCGTATTGCCAAACTTATTAAAGAAAAGTAGAAGAAAATATTTATTTATTATAAGACAATGGTCTTATAATATTTCACGACAATCTTGAGGTAGAAAAACTAGGAATAGTTTTTTCGAGGCATATGGCCAAACTTATTAAAGAAAAGTAGAAGAAAATATTTATTTATCTAAACGAGAATATTGTGGCAGTCTTACAATATTGCACGACAAACTTGAGGTAGTAACGCATAGAAATTTTGTTGTAGTATTAAAATATTTTAGAGTAGTCCTTTTGTTTTTTTTTCTCTCTCACAAGTAGCAAAATTACAATTTAGAAATCTAAGGAAAATCCACAATTAAGTTAATTATAATTTTTAAATTACCATATCTAATTATTTAGAAATTACCAAAAAATATTTGTTCGCAAATCAAAGTAATTCATAAAGACGCGAAATTAAAATTGAATAAAACGAAGAATGGAAGTAAGAAAAAATAAATTGATTTAAATTTCGCGCGTTATTAGTTCGTATAACTATCCGATAGATAGGGAAAGTACTTGTTGCTCATAAAGGATATAGAGTAGACATAATTCTAGAAAAAACAGGATTTAAGATCAGATTAGAAAGGCATTTAATTGGGAAATTAAAAACAATGCATTCCTGACATGAAGAACTTAAGAATTCGTGATTAATATAAAAAAATTTCTTATTTCTTAGAAATTATACGTCAAAGCTTTCTATAATTAAATGCTAAAAAAACCCGACCATGATGTGTCCTTAATTGTAAATGTTTTAAATTACAATTACGAATAGTAAATAAATTTAAATGTAATTTTAATTTAAATTGAATGTAATTTTAATTAAATTTAACGTTAAAGAATTAAGAATAATGGAAAGTATTCTAAAGTTTATAGTTAAGAGATGAATTAAATCTTTCCTCAGCTTTTGATAAAAAAATCAGTTCAATCTAAAATCTCAATCGGAGGATGTCCTTAAAATAATGATTAACTTAATTAAGTAATCAATTTGCATAAATGAGAATGAATTGTTAAAAATAATCGCAGTGATATAATATACGAACAATATAAGTTTTTAACAATGAACCGCTAAAGAAATTTGACCGATTAAAGTTTACGTCAGACATTGAAGTCCAACTCTATGAGAGATAAGAATTATCTTATATCGTTAAATATTACTTATAGAATATACAACTATATATAACAATATAAAAATACTCTTTTAAAACTAATTTCTTGCTTCGATACAGGAAAAAGTAAAAATTAATTTTTTAATAATTTATTTAAAAATTTATAATTACTACCATTAACAGGAATCTTCTAATAATAATTAATTCTACAGTCGCAATTCTTATTTTTTTTTTAAATTATTTAATTTCTTTACTATATTTGTTAACTAAAGTAACTTTCTTAACTTTTTTAATGTCAACAATTAAAAAATAGATAGAATTTAATTTTTATAATAATATAACAAATTTAAAGAATTGTAAGAGGAAACGTAAAACGAGAATTTTAATTATCTAGCTAGAAATAACTTTTCGAGAATCGATGTCAATGCGCTAAATTAAGCGCGGAAAATAAAGCGTATAAAAACGAAACGAATTTCTTACACTTTTTTTGATTGGAAATAAATTTGAAAAATTTCAAGAGTACGGTTCCGATCTCTGTATTTTAATCCAAACTAACAAAATTAACTTTTTTAATCGTAATTAAGAAAACATTTTTCTTTATTAAGAATAACAAGTATATATAGTACATTATAGAAATTTAAAAAAATGTACACATTTTGAATTCATATAAATTTCATTGGGGATGACTAAAAGAAAAATATGACTAAACTTTAAGCATATTTATGTGTTTCATTTTCAAGACAATACTGAGAAAATGAATAAATTGTTTGTTGTTAGTCAACCGGTATAAAAATAAAATCTATTTATGTTTGTATTTAAAAATTTTATTCGTACAAAGTTTTTTTTTTTATTAATTTTTGTTCATACAAAGAAATTAAATTTTATGTAATTTTTTGTCTATTAAAAAAATTATATTCCGATCTCTTAATTATATTAAAAAAATTATATTATAAAAAAGGACAATAATTATTGTTCTTATAATATTTGATCTAAAATTAACTGCTGACTATTAGGTTTTTAACACCATTTGTGTTACTTTAGCATTATAGTCAATTAAGACACTTTAATAGCGGACTAATTAAGTATAAATGAAACTTTACAAAGCATATTCGAAGTATGTGAGATCTTTATTCAATTGTATAAATTTTTCCTTTTGAACAATAATTGTTCGAAGAACAAAGATCATTGTCATAAAAATTCACTATATTTTTTTATAATTGGCAGTTTTGAGAAATCATTTTAATTTTACTTGAACTTGTCATTCAGTGAAAATTTTTATCAATATTCCAAATTCGAACGATGATGAATAGCGGAAATAACGCGATAAAACAAAGAAATATGCACTGACTAATTTAATATACCGAAATTGATAATTTTCACTTAGGGCGCGCTTTTCTTCTTGGTATTCATAACTTCTTTGAAAATTCAAAGTAAAAAGAGAAAGAGATAGAGACATGAGTCATTATTAGTCATTTTTCCTTTTGGATTAATCAACTTATATCAAAGAAGTTGAATTCTGTCCAAATTTTTCTTGTTAGACAATTTTTTTTTCTCTTTTGAAGAAAATGTGACATATTTATTTTGACAGCAAAGTTTATAAAGAATGAGAAATTCTACGTTGAGGCTGCATAAATTTCCTACAAATTAGAATGTTTGCCATGTGAAAAGTAACTTATGGAGATTATCTTTTATTTATTTGAGAACTATTTTTGAAACGCCTATTCACTGCTTTATATTGTGTCTGCAAGTATATTTGGACTTGGAAAGTAATTGATGGTATATTTCAGTGTTTTAAATGATCTTCTTTATATTAACATGCAAATCCTCAAGAGGAAAATTTATTTTTTATTGGTTGATAAATTGTTTTATTATTTGGTAATCCTTCTATACAAAGCACATCGTAGGACGAGTCGTAGGATTAGATATATTTTATTAGATTTTCATTTTTTTAGCAAATTTATTCAGAAATTAAAGGTTAGTTTAAAGGTAGAAGTGACAAAAAACGTCCATTTGACAGTGAAATAGATTTTTTCTTCCTTCTTGGAAGAAAACGTACTCAATCATATGTGTCACTTTTTACCATCTTTTTCACTTTATGTCTATCTTCTTATTAGTGTCTATCATTTTTTTTCTTGAATTTATAGAAAAACTTTATTCAGTATTAGTCAAAAAAAATCTACAATCCTTGAACTGAAAATTTTTCTGGATACTTGTTTCTTACTGATGTTACATTATCATTTTTTTCCCTCTTATAATGCGAGTATTTTTGGCTTCTTCTTTTCTTATAAATAAACTCGATGTTAGTATTTTCGAGGTAATTTTCATTCTTTTTCCCCCCTTTTTTTCTCGTGAAATTAATAAAAGAATTTCGCCGAAATTGAGGTTAAACAGTTTAAACGATTTACGTATGGAGTTTTAGGATTTTTTTGCACAATGTAAAAACCTACGTCAGAAATGAGACTTTGGCAACGCCTGTATCTATTACACGAAACCTTTCACGACCAAAGAATTGTGTCATCCGTTTTCATACAGTTACTATGACGTATAGAGATTTCTCGAAAGCAAGTCAAAAAGGAAACAAAGAATTGGTTTTTTTAGATACTGAAAAGATGTTAAAAATATTATTACACAGAAGTTATACTTTGAAAGTGTGGAAAATTATCTAAAAAATAATTTACAGCAAAACAATAAAAAATAATTGAAACTTTAATTCAATTCGCTATGAAAAATATCAGAATCTGTACAGAAAGTCCAAACATATCTTAATTCTCTTTTAACTCTGATGAGTAGCACATGTTTGGAGGATTACAAAGTGTAATGCGAATCTTGCAACGTGTATCGATTTCAAAGTTTAAAATTATCACTAAATTAAAATTGTCACTGTCGATTTTTTTTTCATTTGATCATTTTCAACCTTGAATTGTAACTATAAATTCGCAACTACAAAACGCAAGGTAGTCGACCTCCCAACACGTGAAAGAAAACAATGACAAATTATTATTCTTCCTCGTTTAACGGTTTTCATCTTATTACTTCATTATATACAAATCATTAGCAAAACCAACAAATAAGTCATTTTCATTTTTGTAGGAAATGCTCTATAAATATATTGAATTTCAAAAAACATTTCTTAACAAATATAAAAATAATAATAATAATAATAAAAGCGTAATAATAAAAAATAATAAAAGTAAAAAATGTTACGTAGAAGACGAATCAAGTGGAATGGTCATCAAACGCGAAAGTGTCGAGCGTGAAAGTGAACGTTTTCATTTGCAAATCACAAATTCGTTTTTCCTTTCGTAAAAAAATGCTTATAATGGCTTTACACGATTTATCACCAATTAAAAAGACTGATGTGAATTAACTTTATCTGTATGATAAATAAAACAAGATCAAAGACTTAAAAAGTAAGGAGAAAGATTAAGTAAGTTAATTCACTCAATTTATCAAGTTTCATTACATTTTATTTCAAGTAATTATGATTTTATGTTCTTTTTTCATGATGCCTATAACATCAACCAATTAAAATTATTTTTTTATCCAAAAAATAATAATAGTTATTATAATTATTATTATATTACATTAAAATTATTTTATTCTTTTTACGTTTACTATCACAATGAAAATCGATTCACTTCCTTTATAACGCGAAAATCATTTGAATTTCGCGCCAAAAGTGAATTGAAAATTGTACAATATTTTCTGATAAATTAAACCGAGAATCGTAGTTATAGTTGTTGAAAACTTAAAAAAAATATTAAAAATCTAATAAGTGGGAAAAATGACTGATTTTAAATTGTACAATTTTTGCAAGTATTTCTAATATAGCAACTGTATAATTGAAAGCGAGAAGTGCTAAAATATATGCATTGCAATTTATTATTCAAGATAAATCTAATGGCAATATTAAATTACATCTTGGATAAGACTTGTTTAGATCATATGATATCAATGAGATAATATATCATTTAATGATATGTGTAAGAAAAGAAAAAACTTCTCACCTGCGATTGATTCATGCAATAAATCATCTTTTTTTCTGTTTGTTAAATTTAACTCAAAATAGGGAAATTTTTTTTTGCAATCGTTTTAAATTAAAATTTTCTGCTTCTACTATTATTACTACTACTACTACTTATAATATTTTTATTGATATTACATAGGAATTTTGTCGTAAAATATTAATTATTTTATGTTAATTTAGCGCAGCAGTGAAGCAGCGAAACTAGGAATTGTTCACTTCAAGGCATAATGACAAACTTATTAAAGAAAAGTAGAAGAAAATATTTATAATTCTAAGCAAGAATATTGTCCTAATATGACACGACAAATTCAAGACGTAATGTCAAACTTATTAAAGAAAAGTAGAAGAAAATATTTATCTAATCAAAAATATTGTGGCAACAATGTCTTATGATATTGCACGACAATCTTGAGGTAGGAAAACTAGGAAGTTTTTTTCGAGGCGTACTGCCAAACTTATTAAAGAAAAGTTGAAGGAAATCTTTATTATTCTAAACAAGAATATTGTGGCAATATTGTCCTAATGTTGCCCGACAAATTTAAGGCGAAATGCCAAACTTATTAAAGAAAAGTAGAAGAAAATATTTATTATTCTAAATAAGAATATTGTCCTAATATGACACAACAAATTCAAGACGTAATGTCAAACTTATTAAAGAAAAGTAGAAGAAAATATATATTTATCTAAACAAGAATATTGTGGCAACATTGCCTTACAATATTGCACGACAAACTTGAGGTAGAAAAACTAGGAATAGTTTTTTCGAGGCGTAAGGCCAAACTTTTGTTGTAGTATTTAAATATTTTAGGGTATCCAGTAACAGAACTAGAAGTTGTTTTGTATAAGGCACTTTTGAGCATGTTAAAGAAAAGTATAGAAGAAAAAACATTTATTAATTTTTAAAAGAACAATATGTCTAGTAAATTTTAAATTCTGTTTATTACTACAGCTACTACTACAACTTATTATATTACAACTACAACTTATTATTGTTATTAGTACTATGAATTATTATATAGGATGAAAGGTCATTCTTTTCGAGTCAAATTAAAGTAAACTCTTATTTATTTTAACATTTCGACAACATTGATTGTCCTCATTAGAAACTGGAATTTATTAATTAGTTAATAGTAAAGTTTTTGGATCTTAATATATATTATTGTTCCATAGTTTAGGCCAAAAAATTAGGATTGTTTGCCCTAAACTATGGAACAATTAATTAATTAGTGTTTGCAAATTTAGATTAATTTTAATTTTGGAATTAAATTAAAGTATACTTACAGCAGTTAGTATGAATACTATGAAGTTAATATATGAATTATTATTGTAACTAGTACTATTAATTATTATCAATATTAATTAATAAATTATTAGTAATATTAGTAGTAATAACAGAACAGTGGCAGTAGCAGTAGATAAACTTGATTTCAGTAAAAAATTCTCTTTTGACAATTGTTCGACATATTAGTTTATTAAAATTAATTGAACCAGAAAAAGAATTAATAACCAAATATTTTCTATACTCGAAGAAATATTGCATAAGTCATAATACTTAAATTGTTTTACAATATTTTAGTGCAGAAAAAGAAGAATTTTGACAGTGAACTGACAAAACTAGGAATAGTTTTCTTTAAAGGCGTGTTGCCAAACTTATTAAAGAAAAGTAGAAGAAAGTATTTATTATTCTAAATAAGAATATTGTGTCAACATTGTCTTAAAATAAATATTTATTAATCTGTAATACAACAGTGATGTCGAGGAAATTTTGCAATTTTATTTACTCTTTATTTTTGGTATAGATAGTAGTATTAATAGAAGTAGTAATTAATAATTAGTAGTATTAATAGTAGTGGAAGCAGTATTAATAGAAGTAGTAGCAGTATTAATAGAAGCATTGATAGTACTAGTAGTAATTAATAAACACGAGCACAAAAAAATTATTTTATCAATTGCCAGAGTAATAAAAAAAATGTCTAAAACATGTCCTGGATAAATCAGTTACGCACCTTATTAAAATGAGTTTGCAAGAGGCGTTCGTACTGATCAACGGCGCGTAAGCAGATCCTCGTGGTGAAGGCTTCCATGCGCGCTGGCAAAGGAGCATGACACACACTGCTTGACATTTTCTATTCCAATTCTTATTCACACCAATAAAAGTTCACTATAAATGCTTGTTGATAAACAAACAATTAATACACGTGAAGCACACTGATTTATTATTGTTCACCCGGCGTCGTTGACAACCGGATGAGCTTATAACAACAATTGCACTATATAAAGAGACAAATAGTAGGGTGTACGTTAGACAGAAAATAATTTCAGGTCATGCGCACATTTTCCCCCTTTTTTAAGAAGGGGATGATTGACTCTATTATAGAGAATGCGTGAATTTAGGGTTGGTTTAATAAATAAAACATAAATACTTTGAAAAAAAAAAATTTAGTAAATGAATTTTTTAATCCAATCGCGAAAAAATACAACCGTACAACAACTGATGTTCTGAGTATACTGAACAGAGGAGAGAGAATAAACGTCATTTTATCGTTCCGCCACTCTCGTCACTCCCACCATACCCACTGCATCGTATTCGAGTGCTATTAGAACCTAAAACTACTCGTGTTCCTTTTTTCAAATCTTGTAGATTTCGAATTTTTTCACTTCTATACGTGATGCTAATTAGGGCTTAAAAATGAATGACTATGTCAATATTTTGTACTATTGACACATTGTAAATTTTGACGAATGGAAATTTTGCCTACTTTCAAACATAACTAGAGGAAAAAAAAGTAGTAGTAGTTGTTCTTTTTCGGTAAAATATTGTAGAGGACAAACTTTTTCATATTTGACCCCTTCCACAATACATTTGTAAAAGGGGTCAATATTCTAGATCTACTCAATATTCTAATATTGCAACAAAAATTTATTAATATTTTTCTACGTAATTTTGAAAACTTGACAAACTGCTAAAAATTTGGTAAATATTTTTTTACAAATACAGGTTTTATTTCTCGTTCGTATATTAATCAAAGGAAAAAGAAGGAAAAATTGCAATGTGTGAAAAAAATATTTTTCTTAATGTTGAACGTTCAGAACTTACGTATTTATTGTTGTTTTATATATATCACAAAATGTAATGAAAATGCGTCAATGAAAATGTGAAAGTTATGAGAATTCTGTGTTTTTATTACTCAGAAAAAAAGTTGTTTATCAAACTTTTAATAAAATATTTCATAATTGTGTAAAAATTTTCATATATTAAAAATTCTTTTTTTCTGCGAGAAACAAACACCTTGAGTTTAAGTTATTATAATTTTGATTATATTATTATTATCGTATCATATATTTAATAATTATTTTCTTCTTTTGATTATATGACAGACTTGTAAAATCAGAATTTAATTTTTCTTTCAATAAGGAAAATCATGAAATAAACATTAAAGTTAAGAACATTTTATTAACAAAAAGAGTGTGAGGAACGGAAAAAAGACTCAAAATTCCCCCCCCTTTTCAGTAACTGCGCGCGCATTACTTGTTAAAATTAATCTAGTTAATAGTTTTTGAATTAAAAAAACGTTTTTAACAATTATTTAATTTTTCGAAGTATGTATTATTTTTTTGAAACAATTTATTATTATAGTAACATTTAAATAATTATTTTTAAATAGCAACATTCAGAAAAGGAAAATTCAGTATTTTTAAATATGTTATATTTATATTTTTATATATAAATATCTTATAAATATATGAAAAAAATTATTTGGACAATAATTTTTATTATTATTGAAATTATTTTCTATTTGTGGTTTAAAAGTAACAAGCAATTGATAATTTAATTTCTCCGAAATAAATAGAAACTAATGACGTATAACGTTGACGTAGTTCCGCACTTTCAAATACCGTGTAATTTATATATTAAACAATTTAATGAAGCAAATGTAGGTTAACGACTTCACTAAGGGATCTAAATCGTTATTAAAAATGATTATAAAGAAGAAAAATTCTTGACGCAACATCAAAAAAATACATATATTATGCAAATACTTTAATTACGAATATTTGTAGTATTAATGGAATTTAATAATACAAAGTAGGTCTCTTTCGAGTTTTTTTTTAAGGCAAGGGAGTGCGAATTACAAGGAGCGATAAAGAACAGAGGAAGATCCGTTAGAATGAATCTGGGAAAAGTGACCGTGCACTTAATATTTTTTTAAATTATATATTTATTTATATATTTCGTTGTTAATATTAATATTTTTATTCCTAGTATTTTTATTATTATTATTATTATTATTATTATTATTATTATCATTATCATTATCATTATCATTATCATTATTATTATTACTGTTATTAATTTGATATTATTTTGATTTTTTAAGAAGATATTAACAAACACTAACTTAAAAATAAAATTCGGATAAGATTAGTGTTTATATATGGAAGTAATGTTTATGACGTTCTGCTTTTTATGCTTTAGCGAAAATAACATAAATTTGATTTAAATCTTTTATTTCCCTCTATCGAGATATTTTTCTGAAATCACAAAGGTAATCAGGGGCTTATATTAGTATAGAGTTTGTAATAATTTCATATAATTTTTTTTTCCAACAAATTGATAGTTGAAGGGTATAATTTAAATAATAAGCTTTACATTATATCGTTATCTTTACGTGTGTTGTCTTGAAACTGGTGGAGATTCAAATTCGAGGAAGTTCGTAAATCATGTTTTTCATTTTATGCATTTTATGTATAAAGCCTTTTCCTTCGAAAGAGGATATAGTATTATAATAATCAAGACATTCTCTTAATGTATACAAAAAATTAGGTTCTTTAAACCTTCTTTTTTATAATTAATTAATTATATTATTTATATAATAAATTATTATGTTACTTATATAATAAATTATTATATTATTTATAAAATTAATTATCATAGTATTTATGCAATTAATTATTATATTATTAATATAATTAATTATAGAAATGATAATTATTTTGTTACTAAATTTGTTATTAAATATTTTTGAAAAAGTTGTTTTCTGCTATCCGTTAAAAGATTATTTATATCCACTTAAAAAAAGAAGATGTTTGAGAATTTTTGGGGAATAGAAAAATTTCTGAAATTTGCGAAAATCTTTATTTCTCGATAAAATAAATATTTTTTCCTCGAATTTCATTTTCAATTGAATGAATGTTGAGACGTAAAAAAATTCTCGAGAAATACCAATACGTGAGTTTTTTTATTTTGTATTATCTGTTATAACTACAATAAAATTTTACGGGATTAAAATTGGCGCCATGTTAAAAACACGCAAAACGTTTTCGATAAACGAAAAAAAGTAATCTAAATAAGCAGAGGATCAAAACTGTCAAACTGTTTTAGTCAAGGTTTACATAAACTTATTAAAGAAAAGTAGAAGAAAAAAAAATTGCAATGCAATAATATTTCCTTAAAATTATTTTTTATTTAAAAAATAATAAAATAAGACTTACAAGAAAATTGTCCTTAATGTCAATTTGTTTGTTTTTTTATTTTTTTTAATCAAATAAGCTTTATATTTAAAAGAATATTTTCTCATGGAATTTGGAATTTTTTAAATCACAATAAAGTAAATTTTTTTAATTATTTTTTGTCCATTTTCGAATTTTTTAAAAAAACATAATTTTGTCCCTATTATGTAAGTATTTCAAAATCTCTAAAACTGATAAAAAATATAATGCAAGAATGACTTTACTGAATATTTATTATCTAATGTAAATTATTTTCCCCTTTAAAAAAAAAAATAATTATTCTTAAAATTTTTTTGTCAAAAAAGAAATTGTATCATTTTTCATTTTTGTTATGACATATTAAAGTGGACAGTGTAATTGATGACTATTGTTATATTAGAATCGCACATTCAGATAATTGCATTATATCGTAATTTTTTTATTCGTGTCTAATTAGAAAATTTATTTAATTGCACATTTTGTTTTGGAAAAAATTTCAAATCATTCGTTTAGATTAGATTTTCTTGAATTTTAATATAAGTAAAATAGAAAAAATTTAATATTTTTAAATTTAAAAATTTAATTTTTTTAAATTAAAAAATTTAATTTTTTTTATTAAAAAATATTATTTTACACCAAAACAACGATAAATTTATAAGTAAATTGCGTGAGAAAATTATTATCTTTAAAAATTGATTTTTTTGTCAAAAATTCTAGTGTTCGAATTTCAATTCCCTTTTTAGGTAAATAGACAATTTATTGATATCTATAATCCTCCAAATAGTCAACTATAAAATATATCTAATCAAACGGACGTTTTTACGTAAACATGAAATAAAACGTGAGTTGAAACACGTAGGACATTGGTTTTTTTTTATTATCTCACGGAAATAAGTCGTAACATGATGAAAGTTTTATATTTTTTCGGTTCATATTTTTACGTAAAGTCAGCAAATTTTTTTTTATTCACCTCTCGTGGAAAAATGGCAAAGTACACGAAAAGAAAGATAAATAAATTTTTTATCTTCCCAAGGATTATTATATTTATTTTACTTTTTTTAGATTTTAGACAATTTTATAGTTTGAAAGAAAAATGATTTCAATGAAATAAAAATTAGAAAATTCATTCGATGATTATTTCTAATAGATGAATTTTTATAAAAGAAAAATTATTTGTTTAAAAAAAAAATGTTCAAGTGCCTCGCGAGTATCAAACATTAAAAAAATAAAATCATTCCACCTATACAAAAAAATGTCGAGGACGGGTAAAAAGACATTTGCAAAAATTTGCATTGACGTTCACGATTTCATACATTTTATGGTCATTGATTATTACATTCTACATTAATTAAAAGTGAAAAAATTGATTTATTTCTTTTTTAGTTTATACTTTGAATTTTAAAATCTAAACTTAGGGGGGGAAAAATGATTCCTCTGTGGTTCAAAGAGTATATCTAGGGAAAATATTTAAAATTACACTAAAAATTTGATCATTAAGTAACAGATTCTTTCTTAATGCCAAAAAGTAAAAAATTTACTTTGTTTCAAAAAATAATTTTATACAGTAAAATAATCGAACTGTGTGCATTAAAGATTGTTCTGGAAAGTACGTAGGTCGGAGAAAATTACATGCAAATAGATCTCAAGGTGTTAATTTAGATCAATCTACTTATTTGTAATCTAATTTTGTACATTGACAAACGGTCACGTTTTGTCTTTCTTCATACACTTGACTTATTAAAATAAATTCTTTTGCAAACATCCGAATAAATTTAGAGAAAAAAATTACCTGATCAGTTCAACAAATTTCTATACATATTAATTACTTTTAAATTTTCTTTTTCTTTCCATTCAGAGTGTTTTCCAAGTCAAAATTTGTAAATCTATTTTTCTAGAATAAAAAAAAATTAATAATTATATAAAAATTTATGAAAGTATTGTAAAGAATAAATTTTTATTGAAGATTTTCAAGAGAGTCTAATTCAAATGCAGAATCGAAAGTATTATGGAATGTAAATATTTGAACTTAACGTC